TGTGGAGGCTATGAACCAACCTAGAATTAGTGGAGCTCTGTAAAAATCGTAATATTATAAAAGTTATTAAAGTTGATCGCCTCAGGTGGGCTGGTCATATTGCAAAGAAGACACTAGGCCAGATACTCCGTAGAGATATTGGATGGAAAGATCTATGCCACCAGAAGAGTAGGAAACTCGGTTGTGATGGATGAATGGTAACAGACAATCCATCCTGGGCACTAGCGGATCCAGGATTTAATTTTGGGGGGGCTTCAGACCGAAAGATTTTTTTTTTCATATACATATAACGATACTTAATTTGAAAAAAAAAAGAAAGAAATTAACTACCTATATGAAATGGTGTTTAAGTGATTCTTGAAGTCCTATTAAATGTAATTAAACGAGCAAGAATACTTTAAAAGATAGTTTTTAATATTTTTTCTGTAAAACATGATTATATTTTACCATTTTGGGGGAGGGGGCTTCAGCCCGAAAGCCCCCCCCCCCGGTAGATTCGCCTGTGATCCTGGGCATCCTTCATTGGAGGCAGTTTCAACCAACAGAGATGACTGGCGGACCAAATTGCAAGATGTCTTCACTGCAAGAATTGTAAGAGAAAGAAGAACTTAGCGGCTGTAGGTTTGAAACTTCAACAAGATGCCATTGTTGAGTTGATAATTTAGGACAGTTCTATCTGTACATGTTGTTTTTTAAGGATAACACCGAGTTCATATATCTCGGTTTTGGATATAAGCGCCATTGAGGAACCTTGCGCTGGAATGCAAAGAGATTAAGGGTGTTCATGCATAAGCATATTCGGTTAAAAAAAGTACCTGGTGTGTCCTAAAAGTCCTAAAATCTTTACATATTTTCATGAAGAAACAAAAAAGAATTTGACTAGATACATTTACATTTACATACATTCATAATAACAGGATATGAAACCGTAATCTTACATTGGAAATTGAATCGCTGTAACTTCGTTAATAGTTGTCCAAAATGAACGATTTTTATATGGCTTTGTAGGGAATTTCATTACCTTTCAAACGACGGACTAAACGGTATATTTTTATACGAAAATTAAAAGAACAATGATTAGAACATAATAGGAAAATTTCATCAAAATCGTTAGAGCCGTTTTTGCGCTACAGCCTATAGAAAAACATGTTTTTCATTTATTGCGCGCAAGCTATTGAGCATGGAGCACCGAATTTCTGTCACATGCATCAGGAGTCATCACCCTACAAAATAAAAAAAGAAGCCACAAAATCGGTTCAGTAGTTTCCGAGAAAATCTTGGCACAGACAGACAGACCAATGGCTAAAAATGTGTTTTTCGGACTCAGGGGGCTCTGAAACGTATAAAACCGCATGTCGGAAATTTGACCCGATTGCAATACTTTCCTTACCTAGTATAGGTAGGAGAGTAAAAATAATAATACAGCAATATTCGGATTCACCTATACTATCCTATTATAACCTATAGATTAATCCTATTATAACCTATTAACATATGATCTATTATTATTTACATCACAGAAGGAACTTTGTATGAGCTGGAGTATATAAATTTAAGAAAGGGGATTAAGAAATTCAACCATTATTGATAATTATATAAAATAGCCTAAAATTAATTACAAATAGGGCGAAATCTGTCTATAATCAAACATTATGAACATAGGGAAAAATGAACTTATTAATTGAAAGTTAAATAAATAATACATACCAGCCAATACATGGTCTGTTGGATTAATATTATTCACCACAACAAATACAATAATGTTTTAAACAATAAAAATGTTTTTAGAGAGAAAATTATAATATTTTTTTAACATGTGGTTACACTTAGTAATTGTAGTAGATTTTAATTCATTGTTCCCCAAGTTTTTTGGGGTGATTTAAAGTAAGGGTGAATTTAACCCTAACGCTCTCGAATTCGCTAATGCTAGCGATTTTACAAGTTTAAAAGAAGATCTATGCAATCATAGATGATAACAAAACAAACCCTGGAATTTATTATGTCATCTTGCTCAATTCCATGTATAAAAATATTTGAAAGGAGTAAATGGGCTAAACTAGTAATCAATGTTGTAAGGTTAAGATTGAAGTACTGATGGAGGAACTGAACAATTTTCGGAAACCAAAACTTTAATCAAGAGACACAGAGAGATTGAGGTAAAAGTGGTAGGGAGACCATGATTTCCATTTTGGTGAAAAAGTTCAAATTCCATGATTGGGAGGAGAAAAAAAGGAAACAATTTTTATTAATCAAAGCCTAATCTGAGAACAGTTTAATCATTTTTTTAATTTTATAATTAACATAAAACGGGTAGTTACACATATTATTTTGTATAAATTTGGATGGAAGGGATTTTTAAGTTCACTCCGAGGGAAAATCTGACTGACAGAAAGGAAAATTAAAAAAAAATATTGTGAAAACGCTGGGGGAGACTAAACTTTACAATTAGGTAGATTAGTTTACCTAATACCCATTGTAAATTCCTAGTTTTCATTTAAAATAGTGGTACTAGTTTGCTTTCACTACTCTGATGACTCATACAGCTTCACGCTATCGGTAAGGTTTATATGACTTAATAATAAGAATGCATTATAAGCAGGGAAGCAGCAGATGCTCTCCTGTTTGGCATATACCCTGCCTTCGGTACTACTATTTCTTGGACCGGCCATTAAAAATACCGAGTTACCTCTATAAAGTAGAAGACTATAAAAAAGGAGTTGCCTCTACGCTTTTATCTTTAGCCCCTTCTTCATTGGTTTTCAATGAACTGCTGGTTGTTAGCAGAGATGGTTCCCAGCTGCGGCTTATGTCGACAATCTGGCCGGAGTAGTGCAGCCGGATGGAAACCTGAAGCTGAAAGTTAAAGAGCAGGGTCATACCTCTCGACTTTCTGTTACGACAAGACTACTTCTGTCATATTATGTACCAAAGAATCTCTGCATGATAATAGAAGATGATTCAAGAAGATGGAAGATGATCCTCCTGAAGAATAGAGTAGACGAATGAACATTGCAATAGGTGGTTGTTGAACATGGTAAAAAACGCAAGCTTGAGGAAGTACTCTCCCTCCATCAGATCAAGACTAGAAGCGACAGATCCTCCCAGATTACTTGATCTGACAGATTATTATGAATGAAAATGAAAATATATTTATATATATATATATATATATATATATATATATATATATATATATATATATATATATATAAATAATAAATATATATATTCATACATGAATGTGGGTTTCCATCCATTCCCTAGGTCGTGGTGGTCCCGCAGACCGCTGAGCATATTATATTAGCCTGTACCACCTTTAATAAGGCACAGAAGACCAAGCTTCTGAGAGAGACAAAGCTTTAGGTTTTGAAACAGAGCGATCTTTCTTAACTAATTACCAAGGAGAAATACCTTTTTTATTATCCCCCTAACCTGGCCATTTCGGGCATACGTGTCAAGTTTACCTTAATACAAGACCAGACTACTCACTCATTCATACTTAGCGTTGATAATTAAATTTTAGCAACTCCTGTAGTAATGTGTATAAATGGGCCCAGTAATTGCTCAAGTATTAGTCGTTAGATTAGTTTATTTCTTCATACAAAAAGTAGTCATTATTTTCCTATATTTCATTGTTATACTATAGTTTATTTAAGATTATATATAAATTTATTATATTTATTTAAGCTTTTCTGTTTGATGATAAAATAAAAAAGTTTTGTTTCACTGTGATGCAATGATTACATACCTTTATTGAAGTGAAAACTTTTTTAGGTGCATTATGCACTTTTTTCGTGGAGAGTGAATTCGATTGATCCGTCATATTTTAAAGCTCTGGTAAAGCCGGCTATAGTAAACTAATTGAAATGTTTCTACATGTGGTTTAAAATATCTCAGAAACTCGAAATGGGGTCTGCATACTGTATGCAAGGACACTGTTCAGTATTTTATCCTCTCTGTAATATGCTATAATTCAAAATTGGATCTTAATGGGACGCCGTGTTAGGGAGGTGAAAAGGAAAAAATAGTGTCAAAAACCAAATGATAACGAGGATAGTTGAATTATGGATTAAAATATTTCAGATACTAAAAATCAGACCTGTATACTGTACGAGAGGGAAATGTTCAGCATTTTGTCTTCTTTGTAATGAGCTATTATTCAAAATTGTATCTTAACCCAACACCGTGTTAGAGAGTAGGAGAGGGAAAAATATTGTGCCCAAAACCAAATGAGCTTATGCTAATATATAGTACAACTGATAATATTATTACAACATTGAAATTATCTATATTTTATGCAATAGAACTTTGTTATTATCTTTAAAAATGCTTTATTAAACTAATTAACCCTAACTAGAATACATGGATTAGTAAATTTATATAAAAGTGGAGCTCCACTTAGTCCTATCATCAGTAACTTCAATGGGGAAATATTACAATAGATGTAAAATATATAGATAGTAACAATGATGTAAAAAACTCAATGGAGGTAGATCAAGTGCTTGAAATAAATAAATAAAATAGATAATAGGTAAATATTGTTTGGTCCGTTTTGATGCAGAAAATTTATTTACCAATATCAACTGGTAAGATGTAATCAAAATAATTGAAAAATACTGGGATACGATAGAACCTCATACCCAAATTAAAGGGTTTTATGGAAGATATAGATTAAAATATCTCAGGCAGCGAAACGTTCAACATTTCATCCTCTTTATAATGAGCTATTATTTATAATTTATATTTCATATTATTAATCTCGTCTTGTTGCTGTTTTCACTTCTGCCGAGTGGCCTAAAGCACAAACCTTAGTTTTTTTTTTATTACTTAATTTCATTTCTTTTATTTTAATTTATTTAATTAAATACATGCTCCACCAGGCAACACATTTTCTTGCTATATACTTCCTATATGTATAGGTAAATGAAAGGAAAAATTAAAAGAAGCTTTTAGCTATTTAAAAAAAAAATTTAAGTTGATTTTTCTCAAATGTGTGTGAATTATTTTAAAGATTTTATTACAGTTCAACATAAGATGCATTCCAGATAAATATTTTCTCAACAACTTTTAATTTCATCAGGAAATATTTTTATAAAAAGAAAGGTATAATGTTTAAAAAACAATGTTAATACAAGTAGCATACTAACCCTCTTATAAGCCATGATATATTAGACAAAATAAGAAAAACCTCTTCTAATCAACTATAAAATATTCTCTTCAAATAGGAACTAACACTTTAAAAGGTTGAAATCTAATAACAAAATTACATACTATGTCACTTATTTATTTGTGTATAAAGCATAGAGAAAAAAAATTAAAATTTCAACACAGCTGTCCACATGACAAATGTTTTGTTTCTAAATAGAGGAAAATTATTTCCTAGGAGAGAAGGATATCACATAATTTTTTTTTTTTTCATTTTAATTTAAATTTATTTCTAGCTTTCCCACCAACCTTTCTTGATTTGAGTATTTGCACTAAGCTCTTAAATAATTCTTTTTATTAACAGGAAACATGAATATGTTCTCTTACAAATAATATACAAAGAAAACGAAAAAAAAAAAAATAAAAGAAGAAAATCTGAACAGTGATATAATGTCATTAACAACCGAGGTCATATCCTAATTAAATAACAATAAATATATTTAGATATAACATTTTAAGAATGAGTTACGGTCCTGCTTGGAAAGGAACGCAAATATTTAAGAATATCAATAATAAAGGTACAAAAACATAATTAAAACATCTGATAATATAATAATATAATCCAAACATTAACAAAGCCATTTAGTGCTAGGACATTAAAGGTCCTGTTTCTGTTACAATGTTTCACCATTTATGCGTGAAGAAGTGTTTATACCTAGATAAAATATCGAGAACCTTAATTACAATTTATTCTTAACACTTTGCATTTTATAATTTAAATTAGCGTATATCTAAACATTCACATACAATTCAGATATATATATTTATGTAATATATAAAATCTATCAATAAAAAGGGTAGCCCAAACATAAATAGCAGTCGTACAAAAAACTTTGCGATTTACTACATAATATAAAAAATTTCCTATTAAAAAAAAAAATGTACTCCGAATCGAGAACATTTCTTAAGAATTTTAAAGATAAAAACCAATAAAAAATTAAATAAAGAATAATTATGCCCCGCATGTACACTAAAATCAGGGATAGAAATTTAATTACAATTATTCTGCTGTCTGAAGGTAAGCATATGGAGAAGGATCTTGCGGGTTTTTAGAGACAAGAGGGATTCTTCCTAGAACATTCCCTCAATTTTTTTTTTGGTTGTTTTTTAATTTTTTTTTGTTTTAAGTGCTTCTTTTTTTCAGCCTTTTACTGATCTTTAGGCTTTTCTTCCTTCTTTCCTGAAGGAATAGCTGCTTTCATCCTGAAAGATCAAAATAGCAAGTAAATAAAGATAGAAACAGATATGTACAAAATAATAATAAAAAATTCATAATGGATTTAATAAAAAACCTGAAGCAAAACATTACATTTCCATTTTGAAAGTAATTCATAAAAAAAGAGTCTCCCAATTTACAGGCCATGAAAGTTTCTTTGATTACATTTTTAAATTATTTACAAAATATGAAATTTAGTTAATCACACTAACTTAGATTGCATAATATTTTTATCTCAGAAAGCTCATTTCACAACTGAAGTATCTCTTATAGAAATATCTATAATTTTTTACGAGCGGTGTTAAAAATCATCGTTAGCTGACCAAGGATTCATTTTATTAAATTTTAATTATTAGATTGTGGTAGTAATTTGATATAAAATTAAACACTCATTAATTTCTTAAAGAGCAATTCCGTCTTAGATGCATCGTAAAGAAGTTATACGTGAAAAAAAGCTAAAAAGTTCTTAAGAGTTAGGTTTTTTGGATGTCAATATTTCTCCTGAGGAGAAGCAGAAATACAAATATCAAGAAGAAGCTCTGATAAGAGAAGCACAACAATTGGACCCATAAATAAATGCAGAAAAAACAAAATATATGATAATAAGCCGAAAATTCCACCTACAGGATCTGCGTACAAGGAAAATCGTTCCTGAGAGTAGAAAAATTCAAATACTTTGGATCCACAATAACCTCAATGAATTACAAACGGTCTGAAATAGACCAGCATATGACAAACGCAAACAGAGGTTTTTCTTGCTTTCAATGGTATTGAAATCTCAAATTAATGATGTACAATGCTTTGATAAAGCCAGTTTTAATAGACAGCTATGAGACCTGTACTTTTATAGGAATTTCTTCGGCTTCAATACTTGCGACATGGCTCTGCCCAACTGAGCCTCCGCAGTTTTATAACTTTACAAGGTCGATATCTCCATAAAAGGTCATAAAGCTTCCTGTCCTTCCTAATCCTCCATCTCTCTCTATTTGCTGTAAGATTTTTCTTTGAAAAAATTAAAAGACTTATTTCATTATTTCTTGAGATGGTTTGAAAGCATAGGTAAGAAGTGGACTTGTAAGAGTCTTTTATATGACCAGTTTAGTGCCCCTGGTAATGGATCTTTTGCAGAGTTTTCAGTAAGGTGAAATATGCCCTATTTGCCGCCACCAGCCTTTTCCTTATCTCAGCAGAGACATTGTTTATTGGCACTGGCGGATCCAGCATTTAATTTTGGGGGGGGGGAGCTTCAGCCCGAAACCTTTTTTTTTCATAAAAATAACGATAATTACTTTGAAAAAACAGAAAGAAAGTAACTACCTATATGAAATGGTGTTTAAGTGATTCCTTAAGTACTTTTAAATGTAATTACATGAACAATAATACTTTAAGAGGTATTTAAAAAAAAAATTCCATAAAACACGGTTATAATTGACTATTTTGGGGGGGGGGGACTTCAGCCCGAAAGCCCCTCCCCCCCGTGTTTATTAGTGTCACTAGGGATTCCTAATACGTAAACTCGTTCACCCTTTGGAATGTGTAAGAGCCCAAAATCAGAGCCTCGATACCACCAGTCCCTGTGTGTATATATTGTGTTTTATTCTCATTTAAGGCCAACCCCATGGCTGAAGCAGCGTCCATGAGTTTTCCAAAGGCTTCTACCAATGCCGATCAGGTCCTGGCCACGATATCCAGGTCTTCAGCGTATTCCAATATCTGTACAGTACGGGTGAATATTGAGTATTCTGTCTGGATTCCTGAATCCCGTCATGCTTTCTCCAGTACAAGATTGAAGAGGACACAGGCCAGTCCATCCTCCTGCCTTAATCCTTTGTTGGAGGAAAATCTATCAGAGCAGTCCGTTTTTATTTTGTTTACATTTTTACATTAATTTTATTTTAATATCCTAGGGCCACTGATCAATTAATAAGAAATGTTTTAAAATTCAGAATTCTTCATTAGGTTAAGGTTATGTTATAATAAAGTTTATAATAATCACCTGTTAGTAATAACTGAAAGTTTATCCATTCCAATCTGGATATAAGCATCAACTTGAGCCTTATTTTTCTCATACAATCTCGGAAGTGAGAAAATCAGTACCACTCCTGAAACAGAATATTAATTAATTTGTACAAATATGTTCAACAAATATGTTTTGTAGAGCTCCTTGACATGAAATTAAAATTCATATAATTATAATTCATACTTCATTTCATCATACCACTAAGTAATGATTTTTAATTTCACAAGATTGGTAAATTGAAATACCAACTTAAAAGAAAAATGCACCATAATGAATGAATATCAACAATAGTTTAAATAGATAGCAATGAATTTTAATATAAAATTTAAATCTTTCGACTTCATTTTTTTAAGGGTTCCGTTCTTCTTATATATTTTTGCAAAAAGAATTACTTCCGGTCTATTTATTAGTTTGTTAAAAAAAATTAATTCATCATATTTGTCGATATTTTGTACTTTGGGACAATAATAACAATCATTATCAGAAAAAAATATTATATTCATGCACAAAATATTTAAAAATTAACAATTATTTAACATATTAATATCTTTATATTGATATCTTCTATAATATTATTTTTCCGATAATATTTTTCATTATCCATTATCATTTTAGTATCGTTAAAAACTCTAGTTAGTCCATTTTATCATACATAGAGAGAGCGATATTCCTATTTCAATGAACTTGATCATACTGGTTGGTGATTACAGATTGTTCTGATCTATTATTTTACTATTTATCCCCTCCCCTCCTCTCTCTGAGAATTAATTTTAAACAGCTGATTTTCATATTTATTTTAATTACAAGGGTGAAACAAAGTTGTCAGAAATTTTGACTGAAATTCCTAACAATTTTGTTCATCGTTATAATTCAACAATCTACTACTTAGTCATCTCTAAAATATTTAAACATTGGGATCTACTGATGTTGGTGACCCACATGTTTGGGTCAAAACATCGGCTAACTCATTAAAGAAATTTTGACTAAATTTCCTGCCGATTTGGTTTCATCCTTATTAAATTCAACAGTTGACTAATTACCCACCTCTAAATTATTATAATTACTGTAGTGCTACTACAATTAGTTGGCAGCCAGAGAGCAAACCCATTTAAGACAAAAAAGTAACTAATATTTTCTTTTTTCCATAACCCTCTCCCGAAATTAGTACAAAATATTTACCGAGATGTACATAAATTAGAAGATATCAATATTCAGATTTCAATACCTGTATATAATTGAAATGAAATGAAAAAAAAAATATTATCCTGGGACAGATGTTCCTTTAGAACAAATTATAAATACAAAATAAATTGTATTCTTATTCAAAATGCTCATTCAAAAATAATAAAATATATTGGAGATTTAGAGAAAAAACAAAATGTGAGATCCAAGTCTGTGCCGCTAGATGAGTTCGCTTTCATGTCAACTAATCACAGTAAAACTATAGTATACATTTTATCAATTCGGTAAGATTTTTGAGCTGTGATATTAACTCAAATAAGATTTAAATTCCTCTTGCTAGTGTAACTGCGCCCCAATCTCACTAAGTTATATTACGAAAAGAAAAAAAACATTCTTAATTTCTTCTTATGTTTTGATGGAAAGTTTCTTATCTTACGGATGAAGTTGGCAATTACAACTCACTTGTGATTGTTGTTTTTTCTTCTTTTTGACGTTTGGGTAAAAGTTCTTTTCATCAACAGAAACATATTTACTGTTGTGTTGCTAGGTTGGTCTCTACAATTTAAGAAATAATTATTGATACATTTTCTCTTATTTTATTTTTTTTGCTCTGCTCCTTTTGTCAATTTATAAAATGTGTTTCTTACTTTACTATTAAGAGTACATATTGAATACAAATAAAAATGCAACTAGAGGAAAAGAGAAGAACCATCCCCGAAACGTCAAACAATCATTGTAAACAACAATAAACCACACTCATAAGAAAGTTATAACTGCCAACTTCAACTGAAAACCATCCTATTTGAAAAATCACTTAACCGAAACCGAGTACAGGTTCAAAGAAACTTAATGAAACATATCTTAATATTTTATCCTTAAAAATATAACTATTGTATATAAGTACAACTAATATAAAAAAACTAGATGCAAAACATAAGTAAGAATTATATCCAAATGCAATATAAAATTAATTAATTTAAACGACATACCAATAATTAGAAGAGTGAGACCATTAAAAACAGCTCCAACATAAGTGAGAGTCCAGAACAGAACGAGACCTTTAATGGAATCGATAAGGTCTTCAACGAGAAACAGACTCCTCAATGCAGAGATAGCAGTATTGAGGTGTTGTGCAGCGATTCGAGCGGTTTCAGAAACTTTCTCTTCTGACAATGAAATGTCCAGTTCAAGATATTCTCTATAAATAAAATTACAATAAATAAGATTGATATATCAATACAGATCTTAATATCTTCAGTTTATAGCTAAAAGTCATTAATCTAATTTTAGAGCTACACTTTAAAGAAGGTTTTAGTGAATTTCGACCTTCCACAAAAACACATCAAGCACATCAAAATGATACAACCCCGTTATTATATAAAATCTAGTTATGCTAAATGCACAATGTTTTGATTTCGCCAAGAGAAAATTCATCATAGTGATCAAATTTTATGAAATGTGACTTTATGCAATAAACCGATGATACCTGCTTTCTAAATCATGATTGAAAATAAAAATTAATGGGATAAATAAAATAATATAATAGTGACATTGTATAAATGGTTTTTCATATAATTAACCTCATCAATTTTTTAAAAAAAATTATGAGCCTGTTTTTACATGCATGTTTTCAATTTTTAGGCCACCCATAATTAAGGGGAGGTCTAACTTCCAACAGGGATCTGCACGATACAGACCAGCCGTACTGCGATGTGGAGCCAAGAGTGAATATAAATTACATAAGGTAAAAAAAGAGTTTTTGCAATTTATCAGAAAAATAAATAAAATTTCAAAGTTTATTATTATAGGAAAGAAAATTATACTATAATAAGGCTTGAAAAATGTAGAGATGATGAATGATGACACATCAGGAAATATTACCATTTCTATGGCAAATAATTGATTAAGTGGGAAAACCTGACGGTTGAGCGTGATCTTATCCTAACCACTAATAGTTAAGTTTGGTTACGAGAGGAAGATGGCAAATTGAAAGCCATTACTCAACCTCTCTACTTTCTTCAAGGTAAAACGGGATATAAAATAATAAATATATAATATATAAAATTAAAATGTTGAAATAACACAAATGAAGAGCATCTGATAGCAATAATTTTGGTAACAAGCATGGAAAATAGTTGTGTTTCAAGAATCAATAGAAAGATAAAGGATAGCAGCAGCGAAGATAAGTTGAAGATAGCAAATATGTTTGAACCTTAATTCCCTCTTCCTCTCCTCCTCCCCACTAAATATGATATAAAAATTTAATGTAAATAATTTTATAATGTAATTACGAATATTATTACGAAAATTGAATACTCGATAGTATATTGAGGAAAAAGATGGTCCTCCGAGGTGATGGTCATAAAAAAAAAAAACTCGAAATATTGTAAACTATTTTATTAAGCCTTTTTATTACATTTTGACCCAAGTCTTCATCAGGGATAGAATAAACAAGATACTATAGGAAACTGTAAGAGTAACAAGATATTTAGATAAAAAATTAAGAGAATTTAAAAATATAGTATATAAAATGTACATACAAGTATTAAGAACGTAAAAATATAAAAAATTGCAACCACAAATTATAATAGAATTACAATATTCAATACAAATACTATACTACAATTACAACATTCTTACCTATATTTATACTGTTATCAATTTTTAATTTACACTATTATAGTTTGTGGTTGCTTGGATTTTTTAATGTTATTTACTCAGTTTATATTTGAATGTCCATAATACTTCTATGTACATTTTATTTACTATACCTAGATCTCCCATAAATACTGTTACAAAAGGTTTTTTTTTTCCTTTGTTCTCCCCTACCTCGCCTTTTTTAGGCTATACAGGGGTTTTTCCCAGGCCAGGGGGAAGGGCATGAAATTTAAAAGATCCACAGGCAACGCGCAGTGCTGTGTACACACGTTAGCCCGTTCAGCCAACCCGCCCTCTCTATTACAAAAGTAGAACTTTGTTTATATCTTTGGTTATTATTTAGGCAACCCTCACCTCTATCAGATTATTTTCTTTACATGTCAGGATAATAATCCAAATTAGTTTGTATTTTTCTTTCACTTAGTTAATATGGAGTGGGCTGATTAAGAAAACCAAATAGCTGTGATCGCCTTACACAAAGTTGGAAAATGTAGGTCAGAGATTTTCAACACTTGGAAAATGGCCATTACACCAATGGTCTTGATCAAAAGATTTTGCTTAGCGATGAGACAATTTTTACAATTGAAGAAAAATTTAATCCCCAAAATGATCGTGCGTACGCACACAGCTCTAAAGAAGCCCAGGAAGTCATTGGAAGAGTGGAAAAAAGTCCTCACCCTTCCTCAGTGATGGTTTGGTTGTGAGTTTGCTTTGATGGCACAACAAAGCTCCATTTTTGTGAAAAAGGAGTTAAAACAGCCACTAAAACCTATCAGGATGATATTTTGGAGTCTGTTGTCAAGCCTAAATGATACTCTGTTTGCTGGAAGTCATTGGGTTTTCCAGCAGGATTCCACTCAAGCTCACAAGGTCACGTCATCTCAGCAGTGGCTGGAAAAGAACATTCCAGGGTTCACCTCTGACTCAGATTGGCCCTCAAGAAGCCCTGATCTCAACGCACTTGATTATTGGCTTTGGTCTGAACTGGAGAGGATGGCATGCCACAGAGCACACCCTAACTTGGGAAGCCTCCAACAATGTCAGTTCCTAGCAGTTGAGCGCTTTCCTAGCAGTTGAGGACATTTTGAGTAATTTCTTTTTTGTTATACTCTCTGAAGATATACATTTGATTTTCTAATAAAGTTGTTGAAAAAAATAATTTTTCTGTTGAAATCTATATATATATTTCCTTGTAACAATATTTTTGACATGACTAGGTATATATTTTTTTTTATCTAAATATTTTTAAATAAAAAAAATTCATTTTAGGCCTGATAAAGACCAGCATAGGTGACTCAAAATGTCATCTTAATAAAACAGTATTCATTATTTTAAGTTATCACCACCCTGATAAAGACCTCTTTTCTTATTATGAAAATTACTGGAGTGGAGAAAGAATTAAGTGGTAATGTGCCACAGCAGAAATTGGCCTTGGAACGGTACTTCCTGACTAAGCAATGAACACAATACCTGTCGGTCTTGAGTTGTAGTATTACAGGTAGTGCTTATATTTTTCCTAAGTCAAAGGCAGTAAAAAGTCAAGGGCATGACCAGAAGAGGGAAGGGTGGCAATTAGATTTATCATTTTAATTAGTTTCTTTCAGAACATTGAAATAGCTACCGATCTGTTGCTGTTAATAAATTTTTTAAAAAATAGGTTTTTTATATTTATTGTTAATTTAACTTAAATTTTTGTTCACATTGAAACGGAAGCCATCTGCCACATTCTAGACACACCCATGACAAAAAAATGTCGTTAATTTTCATTAGGAAACTGAAAAATTAAGTTTCATTTTTCTAGGTATATTACAATAATTCATTCATAATAATAAACCAAACATGTGTACAAATACTATATGTAGTATCTTTGCTAATAATCTTCAAAATGATGGATCAATCATTGGATTAGATGGAGAATTAATGAAGATATGATGCATCGAAAAAAAAAATCCTTAAAATCCTTTAAGGCGTAATAAATAAAGATATTTTAATTTGTATTTGATTAGGAATCAATGAGGATCATCGCATTGAGATTCACTATCTCAAGAATAAGGCTGGGCTCTTGCTCCCAGTGTAGTTCATAAGAATGTTGCCAATTTTACTTATAATTAGGAGTAATCATTACTTGAATGGATGTCCATCGGAAGTTTTCTGCACTGCTTGCATGATGCTTTTGTACGTTCTGAAAGAGATTGTGCCTGCTAGGGTGAGCAGGCTGAGGTAGGCCACAACGCTGATGAGGGAGAAACATGTCAGCGAGAGGAGGGTCACCATCAAGATACCAAATACTGCTCCAGATTTCTTCGGGTCCCTCCAGTACACCAGGGACTCCACTAAAAAAAAAAAAGTAATAAATATTAAAATATTTTTTAAACTAATAAAATTCCAAATAATTTTAACAAGTAGTAAACATCATCACCGATAAACTCTCTTTAAATATAAAAATTTTATCATTAAACTTATTTTTTCTCATATATTAATGAAAAATATGATCAGTTTTCTTAATTTAGATTAAATGAGTTTTGATAATAACTATGACAAAACTTCAAAACCATCCGAACCTTCATGTTTCAAACCTCGCTTCCTTTTTGATACCTGATACTATAACCATAAAAGACATCTGAAAAGAAAATGGCCTCGTGATCTACTTATATAAATATATTACTAGAGTGCTACCAATGGGTAGTTTCCCAACAAGCGTTTTATTCCTGTGTACACATTGACTAGATGTATTTTGAATTTAATACAGTTGTAAATATCATGAATAAATAAAAATAAAGCTACGATGATTTGTTACATTGAACCCTACTTGATATCTTAGAGTACTTTTAGAAATGGTTTAAAGACTAGATAGGATGCATTCAGCCTCAAGAGTCTAAAAAAAATTATATGTTGTAGTAAATATAAATATATCAAGTAAGATTTTATAAAAATTTAATAATATTATAGGGGTCTAATGAGCGTGTTCATTGAATAATTAAATATTATCGCCTTTAGGACTTTGATAATTATACACCGAAACTAATTTTGAAAGCTGGAATTTCATTAACATAATGCTGTTAATTTAGAATGTTTTTCAGTAAATTCATTACCTGGCTTATTCACTAACACTTACATTTCACTACCAAATTAGATTCATAGTTTCGTTTACAAAGTTTACAGTTTTTAAGTTATTAATTATTTGTAGATTCGGCTTTACAAGAAGGCTCCTCACACCGCTCAGCGGTAGAAGAGGAAATGATTAAGAAGAAGAAGTTATTAATTAAACAATAAATTAATGAGGATAAACAATAATTTTCTTTTTTTCCCCCTAATTATACAAACTTGTACTTCAATTGAAATAAACCTAAATTGAATCAGAATAAAAATTATTTTCAGGAGAGAGGGGGTTTATGTCCCTGAGTTTCGGTAGAAAATTAGATTTCTTTGTCGAAATTCTCATTAAATTCAATTTTAAAAACAAATTAATATACAATGTCATTCATATGTCTCATTTTATCCTCCTAAATTACCTTCTTTTTTTTTTTTGCGGGTAAAGGAGGTGTGCCCAGACGTAATTGTCTGTAGGAGACATTTCTAAGGTTGCTATTGTCTACAAAACGAAATATATGGATCTTTATTGATACGAAAAGTGGCCGCTTAAATTAAGAGATGAGTCACTTTAAAGGTTTTTGAAAATAAAAAATTGCATAGAATATTCGGATCGATGGATGAGTTTATGGGAGACTTAAAACGATTACACAAAGTCGAATTGCGTGAGATGTATACAGTAAATATAATTAAAGTAACAACATAGCGAGTAAAATCGATGGAATTATTAATATAAGAATATGCAAAAGGTTTTTTTAAATTTTATTTATTTATATACAGCTGTAATAAGAAAAAATTACATTCCGTAAATGTGATAACAGAAAATAATAACATGAAAATACTTGTTGAGAAATCAACCACGGATAGCACTCTAAAAAAATATATTTACAATAGAAGATCTGGAGGCCATCTTCTTTTCAGACGCCTCGGAGGGTTATCAGGGAACGAAGAGGAAACAAGGTTAGAAACGAGAGGGTTCGGATAATTCTGAAGTTTATTATGGAAGGATAGGTATCTGGATTAGCCCAAATCGAAAACATAAGCTACATTAAGGTCGTTATGGATGATTTTATTAGTGACAAAGTAAGGAGCATTGAGGATTTTGGATTGTAAGGATTAGATGCGTGATGAATTCGGTGGCTTTTTGTGGAGCTCCAAATCTCAACTCCGTAAATCCTTTTTTTATTTTTGGCCGTAAATCCAAATAGGACTTATTGTAGCCATGTATACGAGTCTTTTGTAATTAGCTGAAAGCTTACAGGCGATTGTCTAGTAAGTGCTGGAGTAGTCAAAAACGTCGAGCTTATCGTTCAGCCAGGTATGAGTATTCCAAGTTAGACGTTTGTCCATATGGAGTCCAAGGTATCGGATTTATTCAACAGGGATAAGTATTATTAAAGGATACTGTAGGAAAGGAGGTCATAGGTTTACGACGAAGGGTAAAGGTGATCCAAAAGATTTAATATGCGCTTTTCTGAAAGTTAAACATTGGATGAGTGAAGATGAAATTGCGTCAAGGTTGATCTTGCGGTCGTTGGATGAAAGCAGACATCGATTGGTATTATCACAATAGAATATTCAGGTTCGTTGTTGTTTAATAATTACTCACTTTAAAAAATGAAAATTGATGTCAAAATCGGACTGGCTGAATCAACGCGTGTAAACTTGACGGTTACTTAATATATCATGTAATCATAAATATGAAGGAAGCCTCTAGAATAGCGGGTATTATGAAACAGTAGGATTGATATCAATACCGAAACCGCAAATAATAGAAGTTATAATCGAGAGATCGACCTCGACATAGAAAGCTGATATATGGATATTGTTATATCAAATGCATAATGCAGTATAAATATTCAATATAGATCTTCAGCTCAGATTTCTTTTAAGAAATTAATTATGGCGCATGCGGCACTGATTGCGGACTTATTAATGCAAATATTTGATCGTAGCTTAGAAAGTGTAGAGAAAGATCTGAACGCTCCGATGGTTAGGTTAACTGGAGCTTCCACTAACCAAGTTGAATAGTATCGAGTTTATCAACAGTATCGAGTTACAATACGGGTATTCACTTGTAAATGCTTAATATGTTGTCGTGCTAAGCAGTCAGCACACATATTGAATGAGTGCCAAATAACCTGCCTGTGCTAACGTGCTAAAGTGTTGTTAGTTATAGTAAGTTTACGGCTGTACTGTAAACAAAGTTTGAGAGTTCTTAATTGTTCTACTAACATCTTGATTTATTATTAAAATGTCAAAACGAAGTGAAAAACTAATTTGCTCGAATATTTGGTTAAAAATGATTTATTAGAAAGGATGAAGGAAGATGCAGATGATTCAGAATAAAAATAACTAGATGAAATGAAAAAATATATTATTCTGGGACTGTTATCCATTTAGAACAAATTATAAATACAGATTGTATGTCGGTGTGGTTACAATTAGATTATATATTTACAATAAGAGTTGACTAAAAATAAAAATACTGAAGAAGAGAAAGAAAAGAACAAGAAAATTGTACATATATATGAGAAATGAAAATAATCTAAATAAATTGAGATAGTCTCTGGGGGTGCTTCGATATTTCGCAATCAGTCGGATTGAGAAAAGAGTAGGTGTTTAAAGAGGAGGGGTTTGAAAGAGGAAACTGATTGAGCGTGTCGAATATCAGCAGGGATGGAATCCCAGAAGGAGGCGGCTGGTGTTGCAAAGGATTTGCCAAACGCAGCAGTTCGGTGAGGAGGAGGATAGAGGTCGGAAATACGAGATCTAGTGGGATGGGATTGGATGGAGTATTTGAATTGTAAGCTGTGAAAAATATAGGAGGGTCTATGAGTTCTAAAGATTTGGTACAGAAAGGTTGCTAGGAAGTACTGCTGACGGCGATAGGATGGCAGTAATACTGGGTAATATGCGTATCCCTTGAGGTTCCGAAAACAAATCGTAGTGCACAATTCATTAGACGTTTAAGTTTGGCCTCGGAATCTCCCGAGACTCCACCGTACACCATAGATGAATACATATATAAAATCCTAGCTATCATTATATTCCATTTCTGTGGATATTGCACACAAACAAAGAATCAAAATCTTACTATAACCTTCTCCGTGCGTTTACGAAGTTAGCTACACTTTACAGGACACTAAGCTGCATTAAAATCGAGAGTGTTAGCGGCCATATTTAACAGACATTTCGTAAATAATTTTCTCGTCATCATACATTTAAGAGAGCTTACAATACTAAGCATTGGTTGCATGCATACCCCTAAGAACCGGTTTAATGCTTAAAAGAAAAGCAGAACGAAAAGTAAGAGATCAATTCTGAGAAAGAAAATTCTCCGCTTAAGGTATGTGGTTCGGACGTAAGGTGTAACCCTTAATACAAGTAATTTCTTGCAGAATCTCGATGTTTGAAAGCAGACTATTATTTTAGGCTCGTTCGGAAACCTTTATCACCACCATTGGCGGATTCAGGAATTTTTGAGGGGGGCGCACTAGTGAAACAGAAGAATTCCACATAACAAAGGTATAAAGGGTGTACCGTAAGTAGAGAGAAATTTTTATATGAGTGATAGCAGATCTCAAGCGCTAAAAAAAAAGTTTATAAAAACAATGGACTAATTTTCAGCAGAAAGGTAGAAAATCCAAATTTTGTTTTTTGTTGAATAGGAAGCGATAACTGAAGAAGTATTCATTTTAAGTAATTAAAAATTGCTTCACTGTAAACTAGATAAAATTTATTTCAAATGAGTTTTTCAAAGTTACAACAATTTAAAGTGGACTTTTGAGCAGCAAACTAAGCTGAGTGTTTAAAAAAAAAAAAATAATTCGCAATTTTTTTTTTTTATCATCCAACTACACAACATATACCCCACTTTTAAAAAAACTTCCTCGTTTAATTAGCTTCAAGTTCATATTAATGAAGTAGAGGTTTATTAGGGAGAAAAATCAGATTCACCTTAAGTTGTGTAAAGATATGATAAGATTTTTTTTTCTCCTGTATCCTAAAAGCACCCGTGGTACCGGTGTTTTCAGTAAAAATGACAAATAATTGTTCCTTTCAGTTGAAAGAATGACCAACTCCAATTTCAATATTTTTGAGAAAAGTCATTTTAGTGGTATTTCTAGTGGGAAAATTTATACCTTTATTCACAGTTCTATATTTCAACGCTGCAATCACCTACGACGCAACCAACTTATTCACTCTCAGTCCAGGATATTATAAATTTTCAAACTAGAAA